AATTTTCACTTACTGATGTGCCACTATGAAAACCACTGGAAAGAAGCCTTGAGACCACTGATATTGTCAAAAGATAACAAATTCTACATGAACTTGGATTTGTCCACCAAGTCAGTATCCAATATGATATCCAGATTCTAGCTCATGGTATCTCCTGCTCATTGTGTTCCAGACTTGTACACTCCCTGAAACCTTTGCTCTCCACAAAATCCTCAACAGACTGAGGCAAACAAGCCTTACAGCAGTTACATCACTTGTCCCAGGCACAGGGGGTAAATGTAGGACCAGGGCTTGAACCTAAGTTGGCCTCACCTCAAAGCATGACTCTCACTGACTCTGGCAGCAGTAGATAATTTTAATCTAGTCCTTCTCTAGACCACATGCTATGGTAAACATTGAACCTGAAATACCATTTTTATCTCTTGTCCTTTTTTTTTTCAGTGCTGGGATGAAACCCAGTCAGTCTGGCAAACATTTGCTAGACAAATGTTCTACCATCCCCCTTTAATATCTTATGCAATATCTTCAATATTTTGTTTGCAAATACTGTTATTGATATCACCATTTTATAGATGATGAAACTGAAGATTTTTTACAGCAAATAAATAGTATGCTTTCTTGGCATAAAATAACTAAACTTGTCCTCTGTGTTGCCTGATTCATTCACACTTTACATGGAGGCTGGCCTGGCTAGGGAATATAAGTACATAAATGTAAAATATTTTGCACACCTGGAAGAGACAGAGAAAAATCCTTGAATTGCCAAAGTGAAACCCACTGTGCCAAAACTCCCTTCAAGCTTTTGATTAGTGAATTTCATAAATAAATAGTGCTTTCATAAAAACATCTGTTTGATATGAACAGAGAGAAAACTGAACCACTAGGTACTACAATAGCCCTTAAATAACCAAGGAGAGAGATCAAAATAAAAATAAATCTTAACCAGAATTATAGGCACACCTTGATTAGCTCTTGGTTTTTCCTTCAAATCAGTTAATACCTGAAAAAAATAAAAAAGGAATGTTGATACCAGATATCATATAATAGATGGACTTCATCTGACATACAGTATAGTAGACTGTTGAGAAAGTAATGCTGGCCCACCATTCATGACGTTTACAGCAAAGCAGAACAAGAAAGAAGATAAGCAGGACTTTTCAGAATACTGGACAGTGCCATCACTTTGATTTGAATAAATTATTATTTGTGTAGGTACATTTCTCCAAGTTTTATTATGGCATAGCATTTTGTCATTTCCTCCAAAACAACTGTTGGGTGTTTGTATCTTTTGGGAATTTTTGCTTTTTGACTTCAACTGGTAACAGTTTTTGATTAAAAAATTCTAATATGAAAATCAACATAGTTCATTAAGCTGTGATTCTTTGACAGCTAATGAGAGGGCATAACTTATAATCATTTAATTACACTCAATGTAATGCACAGAAATCATTTACCCATAAGCCATTACTTCCCTTTCACACTCCAACTGACACTGAGCTATCTTATCAAAGAGATGGGCCTCAATTTGTAGAAATGCCAGTCAATACAACTAAGAATTTATTTATTTTTTTACTTTTGCTGTACTTGGGATTGAATTTAGTCTTTCAAGCTTGCTAGGAAGACACTTTACTGCTTGAGTTACTCCTGAGGCCCTTCTTACTCTGGTTATTTTGGAGATATGTAGGGTCTTGATTTTTGCCCAGGCCATCCTGGACCCAATCCTCTAGATCTCAACCTGCCACAATGCTGAAATCACAGGCACACACCACCATACCCAGGTATTGATTGAGATGGGGTCTTGTGAATGTTTTGCCTGTCCTGGCCAGGCTTCAGACCATCAATCTTCCAATCTCAGTCTCCCAAGTACCTAGCACTACAGGCAGGAGCCACTGGTGCCTAGCTAGAATTATTATTTTTAAAACAATAAAGGTCTCATTTTTATATAAACCTCTTTTATAATGAAAAACTTCTTTATTTGCCTCAGGCAGCACTTTATCTAGGATGCAGTTGGCGAGTGGAATAAAAATACCTGTTAAAGAAAAGAAGGTTCCCATCAAAGCTGTTGAAATCTGATTTCATTTCAGATTCTCAAACTAATGTTGTTTTTTGTTTACTCCTTACCCCTGGGAGAACAATAAGTTGAGCAAATTAGAGAAGTAAAGTCAAAGTAATCAAAAATACATTATATCTTCATTTCCTAGGAATGGAAGTGGGTCTCTATGTATTGTGGTGTTGAAAATAAAATCCAATTTCCAGACCTGCTGTGCCATCAGCCTGTATGGACTGCTATGGTCAACATGGGGGTTGTAGCAGCAAATTTTATTATGGACTGGTAATTGAATTGAACAGGCTTACATTTGAATAGATTTACTACATCATGATCTCTGACATACTGCGTGGGACTGAAATCCCTCTACATCCATAAAGATACATTTAAGTTGGTATCATTCTCTCTGGGCTTAGAAAGCAAATGTTGAGTCAAGGAGATGGTCAAAAATAATAGGACATTTATATGCAGGGTGTAGTGTAATATTTCACTGCATTTTTTTAAGTATAAAAGTGAAAAAAAATTCTGTATTTCCTCATAACTACTCATCCTTTCTTTTGGGAGAAAGAAGAGGTGGGACTTAGAGAACTGATTCTTTCCCAACTAAGTGGCCTTAAGAACGGAAAGTAAATTATTATTAGAGGAAATCAGCAACAGCAGTGATTCCCTTGGAAATAGATCCTCTAAAGGCTTGGTAATAGCAACTGAAGAGGTGTGAATTAGAGATAAGCATGGTTCCATTTACTTGGACCAAAAATGTTTAATTAAATGTAATTCGGACCACTTCATTCGCTCTTCCTACCCTTCTGGATCACTCCTGTTAGAAACTACATTAGAAAATTATTTAGGAAAAAATATTTCTTTCTTGCTACTCCTTACCCCTGGGAGAACAATTAGTTGAGCAAATTAGAGAAGTAAAGTCAAAGTAATCAAAAATAAATTATATCTTCATTTACTAGGAATGGAAGTGGGTCTCTATGTATTGTGTGTTGAAAATAAAATCCAAATCTAGGATACATTCACACAAGGTGTTCACTGACACATTACTTCTAACATTTTAAAAAAGTAAATTGCCTTTTAAAAATAGTGATTCTTCAACTTTCAGGAATCTGAAAGCACTCTTACTGAAACTTTTTTGAATAAGCATTAGGTTTAGTTTAAATCTCTGCAAGTCCAAGTGGTTAATGAAGATCCAAAATTGACTGTCCATCTCTTACTATGTTCTGAAGTATGCTTTTTTGTTGTTTGCTTGTTTTTGTGATGCTGGGGATCTTACATTGTGAATTATCTTTTGTACATTGCTTTGCTATAGAGTTTAAGGTAGTGGCTAAGACAAAGTTTTCCACTCAAAAAAGTAAGCCACCACCATCACCTGAACTAAAAGGAAACGTTTTTATCATATGAATTAATTTTGTATTAATGCTTTTACTTATGTGTTTGCCTTTGTCAAAAAACAGTCATTTTGGCATTTTCATGCAAGTTCTACTAGCAAGAGCAGACTAATCTGTCTTTTATACTTGCATTCCTGGAGCCTACAATAGTGTCTGGCACAGACAGCCATAATCAATATTTAGCAAATGGATTATAAATGTAAAACATGTTTACTGTGAAAAATCCTAACAGTGTCAAATGCTATGCAATAAAAGATATCTTCCATCCTCTTTTTATTCAGCGGTATAACCCTGGCACCAGTCTTATGGTATCCTGCCTTCTTCTCCAGGTGTACCATCCCAGTTGTGTGTGTCTATGTTCTGCCTTTCTTTCTCCTTTCCATGTCTCTCTGTCACTCCCCCTCACATATATGTGTGTATACATGTATATATGTTAATATATAAGTGTGTGTATACATATAAATTTTAAAATTTATATAAAATTCAATATATAAATTTATATATAAATGAACCTTTTTTTGCTTTCCTTTGTTTGCTTGACAATGTATCTTGGTCGTCTATTTAAAATGCTTTAATTACTAAGTTACAGGGATGTGGGCAATGATCACAGTGGTAAAGCACTTGCCCAGCAAGCATGAGGCCCTGGGTTTAAATATCCCAAACCAAAAAATTTTAAAAATTAAAAAAATAATTATTGTAAAGTTTTGTGTCTGTTTACAGCTGTTTTTCAAGAGAAGAGCAAAGTTGAAGGAGAGAAGAAGACTTTAAGAGGGTCTTCTTTGTCCCTAGTAAACAAGATGAAGGGTAGACATGTGTGGCGTGAATTCTGTGGACCACGACAGAATCTGTTCCACCCATCTTCCTATAGATCCCACAGAGCACCATAAAATCCTGGAAAAGGAGCAAACCAGGTACAATATGAGAATCTAGTTGTATCACACCCAGCGGAAGCTCTGCTTTAACTTGGTGAATTAGCACTCAGATCAACTTGGATTTAGAAAAAAAGAGGGTTTTTTAGCAACACAAGATATACAAACTAATAAGGCAAATCCCAAGAACAAAGCATATTTCTATGATACAACAGAAGGTATATATTTAAATATTTAAGTAATATAACTTCCTTTAAGCTTTAATTACCAAATTTCACTTTGTTACTTTATAAAATTATCATATTTATTTTAAACACTGGTAAATGAAGAGAAGGAAAGTCTAAATTTAATAGGTAACATACACATGTACAAAACACACCCATGTACAAAGACACATAAAAACATCAAAAACTAAATGCTAGGCATCTCAAAGTAAAGAACAAATTTTTTTTACATCTTCAAGCTGAAATGCTAGTTTTTCTAGATATGGTGTTATATACAAATATTTCAGGACCCTTGACTTGTGTAGAATAGCTGAGTGCTATCTAGTATTCAGTTCCTGACTCTCCAGTAATTAACCATGTAAGCTCAGACAATTTGTTTAGCACAGAATAGAGGTTCACTGTCATTATTTTATGTTTGTCATTGTTATCCCCAATTGAAAGCAAATAGAAAGCAATTTTAATATCATACCAAAAGCTCTTTACACTGGTCTAAAAGATAAGGTTGGAAAAGAATAAAGAAAACCCTAAACCCAAGATTCATGAAAAAACAAAACAAAAAAGATCTCTCTGCGATAACAGTAATGAGAAGAAAAGCAAAAACATAATGCCAGCAAACATTTGGTTTGTCTTCACCTTTTCCCTTCTGCAAATTGTAAAGATCAAAATATCAGGACTGTCACATATACCTGGTGCCTTCAGCTGCATGAAAGATGTGTCCTACCTTGTCCCTTCTGGTTGACGTCGAGCAGTTAGCCACGAGGTATCAGAATGCTAGGGTGTCTGCCATCAGGTGCAGTATACTTACAGCAGTAAGTATACCATCTCTTTCTTTTTTCTCTAAAATTGGTTTAATTCCCAGTTCTTCCAAAACCCCGTGGCCCTCCCCAACAAAGTGCCTTACCTTCTTTCAGCATGCCCACTTTTAGACACTTCATAAAGTGACAAGCCTGGCAGGATTTACATCTGCGCTTTGTGATTTCACATTCGTTCATGGCAGGGCAGCTGTACTCTATATTACCTAAAACACAGAGGGTGAAGAAAGCTGTTAGACTTGCAGGTCCCGGGAAATGTTAGCATCCCAAAGAAAACATCAACTCTGTTACTCCTGCCTCCCCCACCCCAAGTCACACAGATTCATCAGGAATGTAAAACATGTCACAAAGCTGATACTATGCTAAAGTCACAGAAGATGCATTGAAAAATGAGAAGAAATATGGAGAAGGTCTTTAAAAAATTAAGTTTAGATTAGGCTTTTATGATCATATCTACTTTGAAATTTCTTTTGGATTCTAAGATTCTAGAAAACAGTTACTCTGCATGGGCAGAAAAAGCAAAGGGTCAGTAAACCAAATCCACCCATGCATGACTTTTCAAGTAAATTATGTTCATAAAAATACAAACATAGAAAGTGGATTCTTGTATTGTTCATCCTGGATTTCTTGTGGAGACACTGAACGACATAAACTTCATGGTGAGAAATGACCACGACCAGCAGGCTAATGCGGGCCTTTGAGGTAGGCACCTCCAGGACAGGGATAGGAATGCTAACTGCAAGGCTTCCAAAGCCTTACAGCACAATTCCACACTCAGTAAATGCTTCTTGGTGACAATGGTGATGATGATGATGGTAGCCATGGTGATAGAGGTGTTCATCATCATTACTTCCCTCATTGTGTTTGTCACGTTATTTGCATAGTTAATTCCAAACACTCAAGGTCCATGAAAATGTTATAAAGAAGAACAAACTACTATGAAATTAGTTTTTGTTTGTTTGTTTTTGCAGTACTGGTACTGAGGTTTGAATTCATGGCTTCAGCCTTACTAAGCAGTTATTTTACCACTTCAGCTACACCTCCAGTCCTTTTTGCTCCAGTTGTTTTGGAGATGGGGTCTCACTTTTTGCCATGACTGGCCTGGACTGAGATCCTTTTATTTATACTTCTTCCTGTTGCTATGATGACAGGGGAGCCATCACGCCCAGCTTTTTTCCAATGTGGTGTGGGACCCATGAGCTTTTTTGGCCGAATTGGCCTCCAACAGTGATCCTCCTGATCTCGGCCTCCCAAGTAGTGAAGCCACATCTTTAAAATGATACACATGAAGCAGAAGATGCAAACTTTAAATGCTTCTCAATTAGAGACAATTCAAGTGTGTGGGCTGTTCTGCGGGTTGCCTACAAATCGGCAAAGAAGCTGCCTTTAAAATAAAGCCTCTCTCCCCTCTCAGCTGGGTTGTATAGTGCTGGAAGGTCTCCTGCTACTTCCTAACCCTTTCCCCTTGTGATTAAGTGCATTAGTATCTTAATAAAAATGCATTCTGTTTATTGCCCTGCATTCTGTTTATTGTGAAGAGGGAGGTCATCACACCAAATGCATAAATTGCCATCAGAGACGGTCCAAGCATAATTGCAATTTTGCTGCTCCATGTCTGCTATATTGGGGTCCATCCTGAGTCCCCTGAAACACATGCAGATTCTTGTAATTAGCATAGAGGCTGCCTGGGACCACACATTGATGAAACATTTCAGAGTTAATCACACTTTGTAAATACTGATTTATACTGACTACCTTTCTCCAGACTGATGTCTCCTCATTAAATATCACATTAGTCGATCGCAGGATTGTGCAAAGACTCAACTACTCAGCAACTGCTAATTCAACAGGAAGTAATACTAACCACTTAGAACTGCTGAAAATTGGTTAAGTATACATAAGTCAAAATAAGTCTATTACAATTTGAGCTAAACCTATAGAAAGTTAGTCTAAATTAGCATTTTAATTTACAATACATGATAAAAACAACTACTGTTGGTTTTTGTTTGTAGTTTTTTAAGACAGGGTCTCCCTATGAGGCCTAGGCTGGCCTTGAACTCTCTTGTAGTCTAAACTGGCCTCAAACTCACAATCCTCCTGCCTCATCTTACCCAGTGCTGGGATTACAGATGTGCACTACCAGGACTGGCTTAAAGAAACCACTGTTAATAGGAGGTTATATATTAAGAGTGATATTAATTGCATAAACAAAAGTGTTCACCATCACTTATATTTCATTCCTCAGAAATATTAGTAATGGCATACACACAGAAATCCAAGGATAATGTGAAGGAATCAGACTGTGATGAAGGCCGAAGATAAGAGGAGTTTCATCTGAATGTTAGATAAACCCACTCCTCACTGCAGAGTTTCTTGAACCATCCCTGAGATTTTATTTTGCATCAAAAGAGTACTGCTAGCAATTTTCTAAGGGTTAATATTCTACGACTAGATTCTCCCTCTTCATATGACTTATTTTAAAAGAAAACTAAGGTTTTGTTCTCTTAGGAATGATGGGAAAATGATTGGTTAGAAAGACCAGAAGGTAAAAAAAATTCAAATATTTCTTTCCCTTTGGTACTTGAAAAATAGTAGGAAGTAATGCTTGTTCATCTTTCTGTTTTGAGACATGAACACTTGTCTTCCACCTTTAACTCAGTCCTAGATAACCCACTACCACAAACAAATGCAATCATCTTTCTTTTCAAACTAGTTTCTCTCCTCTTTGGAAATTACTTCCTTATCCTTCACATCAAGACACTTCTGACAGGAACATATATCTGGCACTCCTGAGCTCACCTCTGGACGAGGATGGTCACCACCTTGGTGGCTATTGGCCTCCATTCTGCCCCAGTCTAATCCAGGTGAAACACCATGAGCATATTTTCTTTCTGTGACTGTTTTAATCATGGGTCTTCCCTAATATTTAAAGAACTCAATATGAAGCTGTGGGTGTAGCTCAGTGGTAGAATGCTTGTTTAGCCTTTGCCATTACACACACACATTCACACACCAATGGGTCCTATGCCCTCCTGCATTAAGTCTAAAATATTAGGCAAGCAAACAAGATTCTCTCCCAATCTAACTCTCATCATTTTTCCAGCAATATTACAATTTTTGCATCAGATGAGCTTCCTGATGTGGCCAATATGATTTATTCATTTTTTTACTGCCTGCCCTTCAAGACTCTCCTCTGAGAATGATCTATCTCTGCCCCTCTTTTCTTCTTAAAATTATTTCCAAGGCTTTATGTTCGACTCCAATTCTCTTCAAATGTTTTATGAAAACTTCTCAGACTATCCTAGCAGAAAATGATTTCTTGGGACCTATGTCTTTTGAGGCTCTCATCCTACATGGGTAGGTCATATTTGGCTAGATCTTTTCAGGATCTATTACCCATTAGATAGTAGGACACTGGAGGACAAGGACCATTTCTTAGGGAATATAAAAACTTTGGCCAAAAAGCACTGCATAAGTAAAAGAATAGTATTTTCTTGTTATCTCAAGGTCATCATTATTATGAACATCAATTACTGTGCTATGATGTAGTAATGTCTACAGGATCAAGTGAGCTAGATAGTCCTTTAGAAAGCAATATTAAGAACATTAGCATCTTGGGAGTGGTGACACATGCCTGTATTGTAAGCACTTGGGAGATGGATGCAGGGGGTGAAGGTAGGATGTCCCCAAGTTTGAGGCCAGTTTGGAAAACAATAGCAAGACCCTATCTCCAAAATGAAAAAAACAGGAAGGAAGGAAAGAGGGAAGAAAGGAAGGAAGGAAGGAAGGAAGGAAGGAAAGAGGGGAGAGGGAGGGAGGAAACAAAAGAAGAAGGGAGAGAGAGGTGTAGGGAAAGAAGGAAGGAGAAGAAAACTATACTAGGAAAACCATTCCACAAATAATTTTTAAGAGAGTAGAAGGAAATCTATCTTTAATTTTTTCAAAACATTGAAAAGTACCTTTGACTAACAGAAATGTGTAGCAAAAGAAGGAGTGATTAAGAGGAAATTTTTTTAAATGCTAATGGTTCCAGAGAGTAAAGTATATGAAAGGAAAAGAATCTGGAAGAAACTTTAAAGGAAATAAAAATTTGTTATGATATTAATAGAAGAAGAAAAGGAAAAGGAAATATGCAAATACAAACAATACAGACAGATGATACTAAAAGAGTCATGTAATTTTTTGTTGTTTCATACTTGTTATTATTGACAAAATAAGTGCTCTCAGAATTGGATCCACATTGAAGAAAATATTTAGGAGTGATTCAATAATAATAGCTAAATCTGCAAATAATTTTTTAAGTATAATTGTGTAAAGATTTTTAAATTTACCCAACAAAACAGAAGAGAAATTGCCAACTTGTCATATAAGAGTTTCACGTTACATATAAAGAATATTCTAGTTTCCTTTCTAATCTGTGCATTGCATAATTCTTCAATGACAAAGAGATATTTGAAGGTAGGAAGAGTTTTAATAATGCCTTAAAATTAATTCTTTTGTTGCTTTTGTTTTGTTTGTTGAGACAGGGACTTACTAGGAAGCCCAGGCTGGCCTGGAATTTACAATCCTCCTGTCTCAGTTTCCCAGTGCTGGGATTTTCATGTGTAGATTACTATAATCAGCTTTTGAAGTGAATTCTTGCTGTCTTATTCTTTGCTGAATCTACTTATCAATGAGCCTGGAATTCTGTACTGTGCCAGATTGGGATAGAAAGGTGGCCATAGTCAAAAGTTATTTCAACAGATAATACAGCTTAGAGTGTGGTGCAATGACTCTGGATGCAGTACAGGTGTGTACCAGCATACACACATTCTCACGCACAGAGATTATGCTTATGAAAGCCACTGAACTGTTCACACAGGGCAACTACTTGAACTGTGCTGTGAAAAAAAGAATAGATGCTGACATTGGAATAAAGGAATCTTTTCAAAGCATAGGAAATACAGTGGCATCTTTATAAAAAAATGTCACTTGTGAAAGAATGGAAAACATAGTGGTCTTGAGTGTTTTCACAAATGATATATTTTGAACTGAAGTGTAGAGACATTGTTTAGGACGAGTCAGGTATTCTTCACCAAAGTTCTCTTTCAATAATGTCATCTTGACACAGGGATGATGACCTTGATTTCACTAAGTAATTCTGCTTCCTATTTTGAAAAACAAATCAACGTTATTTTAAACAACTTGTTTGCTAGAGGGAAGCCTC